GCTGTACCTGTCTCAGAGGTGTTGTCCATCCCCACCGTGGCTGCAAACTCAGGCTTGTAGTTGTAGTGCACCAGCCTCATCCTGGAGATCCTCTTGAGCTGCTCCGTGGTGTCCACCTGGGACAGAACAGACACGTGGAGCTCCTCAGGGGGGTGTTGCTTCAGAAGCTGCCATGACTCTGACCTTGAAGCAGCCAAACCAGCAGGACCTTGAGGGGCTGGAGCGTGGCCAGAGAAGGGCCTCAAGTCACCCCAGGGGAGGTTGAGGTTGGCCCTGAGGAACAATTTCTTGCCCTGGAGGGTTGCCCAGGGCTGTGCCAGGCTGCCCAGGGCAGTGGTGGAGTCCCCACCCCTGGAGGGGTTCCCAAGCCGTGGAGATGTGGGGTGAGGGACATAGGTTAGAGGTGACCTGGCCGTGCTGGGGAACAGTTGGACTTGATCATCTTGAAGTTCTCTTCCAACCAAACTGATTTCAAGGTTCTAAGGCCCTTCCCATCTGCTCAGAAGCTCAGGCTGCCCATAAAGACTGTGCCAAAATCAGCAGTGAAGCTCACGAGGCCACCCACACTTTCTCTGGTGCCTCTTTAGACCCCTGATGACCTCCAACCTCCCCTGGATGACCTGCCCCTTACCTCCTGGATGTCCTCCTTCACTCGGAGGTCTGAAGGGTGCATGAGTGAGCCCATGACCTTCACGTTGCCATGGACCACCAGGGCTTCGTCGGGGCGATCCGTGTTGATGCCAACCCGGCCGTGGTGGAACACGGTGTCTGGGAGCTGAGCCCTCTGCCAGAGGACATCACTGTCACTCTCAAACTGCCCCGGGTTGGAGGCCTGTGGAGATAAGGAGGTGGACACTGAAAAGCAGCAGGAGCTGGGCAAAAGGTCTTGGAGATGTAGGCAGAGTGAGGACATCAGGAGAGCCCCAAGGAGCCGTCGTTCTACACGTGCTGCAGAAGGACTCTCTAGCAGGAGAGGCCAGAGGGACATCAGAGACCCTCAAGCTGCTGTGGTGGCCTGGACAGTGTTGTCCTCATGGGTGCAGTGGGATGAAGGTGCCAAACAAGATGGGTGGTCTCAAGTCTTGGATGTCTTTGATCACCTGGAGGCCACGTCCCTCCACCAAGGCTGTTCTCTGACCCCCAGCAGCTCTGCCCTGGACACTGGTCCAACCTTGGAAGAATGGGATCCCCTCCCTGTCCTGCAGCAGGTTCTTGTGTGCCCTGGGGCTGCTCTGGCCAAGGAGATGTGGGAGGGCTGGAGGACATGGGCAGGGATAGCTGCAGTCAAGGCAGGGAAGGTTTGGAGGAGGTGGGAAAGAGCTGGGTGGGAGAAGCAGAGAAAAGCCCAGGACATAGAATCAGATCCACAGACCCATTTGGGTGGGAAGGGACCTTTC